GTTGCGCTGGATGACGTGTTAGCTCTGACCAGAGACTGCATTTCACAATAGATGGTTCGGGAATCTGCACAAGTGTGCATTGTTGGACCGTGAAAGGTAGCCACCACACTGTCGTGTACAATCGTATGAGGGAATTGTTCTATAAATTCTACCATTTTCATTTTGGTACCTAGAGTTGAGTCCATCACGTCGGCTACAACGTAAAACAGGTTGTTTTGGCGTGGATTGAGTAGGAGACCCTTTGTTGTTGTAAAGTATGTGTGAAACTGTTGGAAAGCCAGGCTTTAGGAAGCTAGACCTGCGCATTGCTCAATCGGCTCCATTCCTCACCACAAATTAGTACATTTGATGGCGGTAACTACTACGCTGTGCAATTTCTCTGCCAGGCCACCCTAAGAAGATAAGCTTCAGATTGTGCCTCTGAGAACTACGAAATATAGCACGGGCTGCATAGCAGAGAAAATATTTTGGATTGCTTTGGTATGACAAGCACGAACAATTGTTGTTGCCTTCCCCAGTTGTTTTTAGAATTGCATCGAATAGGATAGAGGTCTTCTGGTGTTAAGAGCACACATTTAGAAGTCATATAATTTCACAGAAGTGGCTATTACCTATGTTCACTTAAAAACAGCATTTGGAATAGATAAATTCGGATTAATGATGACAAGCGCTGCAAAGGTACTGGTGAAACCAGGACAATTTAAAAGGCACTTATTATGGTCAGCACACTTTGGTGGCATCGTTGCTCATTCACAGACTGATAAACGCACCCGTCGAATGCTCTCGATTTCCGACTTTTTCGCGTCCAGTGGGGTCTTGGAATATTTGTCGATTTCGGGGATGGGAGGAGGACCTGGCAAGACCTTTGAAGCTTCCATTCGTTCGCACTTCATCGCTGAGAGACTTCGTGATTACAAAGAAACAATTTAATTTTTTCAATATTCTCGTTGGCTTTGTTTTTATGTAGTTGATCCTTTTTTAGCTAGTGATAAATCGTTTATTTTCGATTTTGATGCTCATACTTGTATAAACTTTTGATTTAAATTTTAATCAATGCATGCCGAACCTTTCGTGTCCCTGTCTAATCCCACCTCCTCCTATAATTCGATGATTGATGTACACTTTGCGTGCGTGGTTAATATGTTTAATGTCACCATATTTTACCCGATAGTGCGGGCTTCGACTTTGATTAAATTTTTTGAGCCGGATGCAGAAGTTATTTGCGGTTGTATCCTATTCTGAAATGTTCTGACTCCTTCGACAAGCAGTTTGAATTAAGCGCTGGACTTCTACCAGCGAATGCTTATTTTTTATATTTATTGCATGCTTTTGTGCCACTAGGAAATTAATACAGTTGTATCGAATCCTTAAAAGGATAGTATTTGTCTATGAATCGTGTTTAATCTTCGAGACCGTAACAAATCTTTTCCCTCCTCACTTTCAATTTATCTTATTTTTTGCTTAGACAAAAGGCACTGCTGAGATCCTGATGATGACGATAAGCTTGTAACTTAGTTAAATGGGACATTAGAGCAAATGTGTCGACACCTCAATCTATTTCATTAGTTTTTGCTACCTATCAAGTTATTTTTGTGCATTGAAATTTGTTTATATTCAGATAACTAAAAAACGAATCAACAGTACCAACAATTAACTCAAATAATTAACTAGACATTACCGGGCTTTTACCAGGCGGATCTGTATACACAGTAAGCTCCTGGTACCTATTTTAGACTTTTCGGTTTGGTGTATTTATTGAAAATGCTTGTTGCGTTTGTCAAAGTAACACTTATTGAGCCATCTCGGAACACTCCAAATAACAAATGTTCTACAATAATCCAGCAAAGTTTTTGCTGCATATGATCACAACGCACTTACATCTTGAGTAATCGCCTGCAAAGTACAGGGTGTGTTTCTTCAAATTAATATTGAGCATTTACACCTTTCATTGAGGTAAAGCGGAATCTTTGTTCCTATTTGCATTACTAAAAAAAGGAGCAAGTAAACTTTAAGTGTAGCCCTTGATAAAAAAAAAAATAACAGACAGCACAGTGTACTACATTTTGTTTCTTCGATTACCAGGTTTAATTCCACATTCCAGAACATTCCAGACATTTTACTGTACAAAACATTCTCATACTAAACAGTGAGTTCCTAGGTTTGGTATCTGTAAGTGACGCGATAAGCAGATGGACATAAATTTACATTTAATGCATTAGTGAATTCATTTGCTTGAACCATCGTAATGAACCAATGAGGAATACACTATGGCGTCTCCAAAGGTTTCTAGAGCCCACACCTGTGAGATACTGCTGTGTTATTATGTTTAATGATAAGATTGCATTAAGCTGATTATATAACAAGGACATGGTTGCATTTTTCTACCAAATACAGTCCTATGAGTCAAAGCAGATTTTCCTGTTTTGACGTTCCGTTTTGCTTAGTGACCAGTCGGTTTTTTTTGCATGTTCTATCGTTTTGAGGTATTTTTTTTCACCACACAAAGGGCAAATGTCTTCTTCAAAGAATTCATCGGGTTAGGGCCTACAATATTCGTACACTGTAGTTAAGTCGATTTCCGATTTGAGTGCTTTGGATTAATATTCTTCCAAATTTTAAAAAATCGTGGTTAGTAAATCGACTTTGAGTTGTGTCGCAACTGCACTAACAGTTCGTACCTGTTTATTTTTTTTTAAATTATTGACGTTGCCACGTCGTACGATTGTGCTGTTGCACTCGTGTTATTCGCCTGTTGTTCATTCCTATCCCAGGTTTACTTGCCTAATATTCAAGGGTCCTTTCACGTAATACGGTGGCTCAGCACTACCTTCTTGATTTAAATTATGTTTTTAATTTGCTTCAGGTTGCGTAAATGTTCCTATTTGAACCTCGCACCACCTTTTCAAATGCGACACTTAGGTTACTTATTTACCTATTCGCTGCACATGGCATTATGCGGCTTTGGCTATTGGTAATTCTAAAGTGCCCTCCTATGCCAATATTTTGCCACAAGATCCGCATTTTACTTTCTCACTTTAACTTTCTACTGCATTTGTTCCCTTAACTGCGTTACTGCGACGGGATTGCTCATATCCGTTTATTGTTTTGGCAGTAGTCTTTTTCGGTTGCATTAAATTTATTAACCACTGGGGTTGTTAATATGCTGCTCGCCTTCAAACCGTTCATGAAATCCCAATTATTCCAAAATATTCTATAGTGTTGGCTCAACATTTAGGAAATTATGTGCTTTTAAACGCGTAGTCGGTCCAAATTTGAGTTATTTTAATCCACGTCCAATAAGTTATTAACTTTTACTTTAAAAAATGTGCAAGTATACAGAATTTGCTATCGTAGCTCTTCAGTATTCGGAGTAGATGTATGTCTCTCGCTTTTTACTCCGATATTCCAGCTATTCCTTCTAGGTCCTTGAGTAAATTCGAGGATAATTGTGGTTCTCTAAAATGCCTTATTTTAGTAACTCCGCATGTTCGAATGCCGTCAACCTTTTTGAGTTACTGGGATGAATTACGAAATCTGATCACTCTAGCTTGGCCATTGGTGAGTCATTTCGCCTTTCTTCAAGCGACTCAGATATGGTTAAATCGACATAATAAGAAGTTCACCACCACGTCATCGTTACTTTTTTTGAGTTCTTTGTTTCGAAATATTTCACCATCGTTTGAAAATAGATGTTTTACTGCATTACTAGATCTTTCTCCGCGTTACTTATAGTCCGTTTATACGTTTTGTTACTTTTGGTTGGCTGTCATATTTTGGAAAATGTGCTTTTAAGATACGCTTACGCTATGACATTTTGAGGTTCAGGGAACTTTTTCTGATATCGGTTTATAATGTCAGTTACCAAATTTTATAACCAAAAAATAAGAATGATAATAAAGCCTACATTTTGATGAATTTATGAAGTTTTAATTTTAACGCCAAAGCCAATTCTTTTGTAGATGATTACTCACTTTCTTCGATTTATAAGTCCCTCCTTAAGTATCATGATTTGCGGCCACTTCAGTCGAGAGGAACTTGATGCCGCATCCCTGGCTAATACGGTAGGCTGCATGTAGTGTGCCCAAGCTATTACATCACCTGTTTGTTGTAACTTTCGATTACCAATTCCAGTGTATTGGTAATGCAGCAGTTACCCGTTTTTACAATCTGGGGTTTTGAAAGGGGCTATGCGTAGATCATACAGTGGTTAATAGTTACTTGTAAGTTCTATTATTGGTGTATTTAGTAGTTATTACTTTTCATGAATTCGCATGTTTTGGATAGATCAAAAATTTGCTCGAAAAAAATTTGGAGCACTTAAGGCACAAGTGATTGTTTATTTTCTTTGTGATTTGAGTAGTTTGAAAGAATAGTGATATTTTTATTATTATTTCGGTATAGGTAATCAACGTACTTGGCCTTAGCATAGATATGGGATTTTCAACTGCTTCAGACACTCTCTTTAGTCAGGTTAGTTTAAATAACTTTTTTCCGAAAGTCAGCAGCCGCTGATCATTGAAGCTTTTTATCCGTCAGTGCATTTCTCACGCAATATGTACGTACCGTTTCACGTGTGCTGTGCGTCCGTAAACATGTACCTCAGATTGACTCCCATATTCATTATTAACATGGCCAATAAACCAGCTTGCTGTCCAAATACCTAAGCCTTTTACCGAATTTACACTTTGGCTTGTATTGTCGTGCTTCCACCCAGGGTAGAGCGTGTTGCAACATTAAGACGCGTTCTTTATCTTCCATTTGAACTTCACATCATCAACACCGTGATTTACTAATTGCATATTTCTGGTAGAAATTTTCGCCGTTTTAGTAATGGAAATAAACCGGGTCATTTTTTCACTGACGTGTTTATATGGTCTGTGATGAGTGTTTAGTCTTCCTTAGTACTTTTGTAATAAATGTTTTCGACAGATTTTTTTGTCTTCGTTTCTTTTGTTTGTGGTTTGAAAGTGAAATTTGTCCCCAAATTACTTGCGACTGATATAACATTTCTTATCTCGTCCCACCTCCATGTAGTACTCACAGCATTAATCGGATAGTGGGGCTTAATTATAGATTACGCGGTTTTTTTAATTTCCCTTCAGACATATGGAAGTTCTAAGAGAAAATTGATGGGAATCATTCTGCAGCGGGGTATGTGACAGTTATTATCTCGTCAATTTATATATGAGTTGTCATCGCATTGCCCTTTTGACAGGGATGTTAAATTAAGGATTCGATGAAGTCTTCGTTTATTTATGCTTTTTTAAATTTGACTTAAACTACCTGTTGTGGTTACATGTCTTTCCGATGTCACATTGTTGGCATACCATTTACGAGGAACGTCGAATTCTGTATGGAAGATTTTGAACCATTTCCCAATCACCATAGCCTTTGTCCAGGTGTAACGACGTTCATGAATTTTGCTGTTTTTTTTATTTTGCACTGGCTACTTCAAAAACGATGTTGATTTTGCTGAAGTGGTCGTCCTTTATGAGCTGTTTCGTCGACTCTTTGTAGAGCTTATTTTAAATAAGCTTTTGTCTCATTTGCTTTAATGAGATAAACTTATTAAAATTGCGTCTTTTCCAGACAAGCAACAGCTATTTTATTCAACTGGAAAAGTAATGTGACATATGTCAGGCTGTAACTTTTGTGATGATCTATTTATCGTACTGTAAATGTTTGTGGTTGTAAAACTTGGGTAATTTGCTCATTATCTTCGTTGCTGAAGACAGAATTCGTGATTCTGACATAATGTGTGTTCATCGTGGTTGCATTTCCCAAGTTGGCTTTATTGAGAATGAAATGTGGCTTAACACGAGGACACAGCCTCATAATTGAATCATGTTATTCCATTAATGTTTTTAAATATCTGTGCAAACTTCAACGTGGTGTTCATTTTGGGTTCTTCGTTGCCCAAATGTCCAAACTCTTATACAAATTTCTGAAGAATTGTTGCCTTTGCACGAAATGGGATATTTAATCCCCCCGAACATACTCGCGACCTCAAAAACACGCAAGCGTATTCTTGCTAAACACAGTTCCCTGTGCATATTTTTTCGTACTGTTTTTACCGCCTTTCGCTTGCTTATACCTCGTTGTAGCTTTGCTGATCATGACGCTGATTTTCCTTACCTTGGCTTGCGTTCACGTCAATATCGAGGGCTTATTGCTGATGGCTGGACAGGATTCTCTGATTTCATCGTAAGACCCATTTTCCCTCCTCAATATCGGCGTTATAACTGGGGTTTTAGGTCTCAGTACTTCTCATGTAGGTCCACTTCTACAAATTGTTTCATCCCAGTTACTTTTCACGATGTCTCGGTTTTGCTAACGCAAAACAACGGTTAAACCACGTGTCTTCTTATCATAGGATTGATGAAACTGACAGGTACCTTTGATTTAGTATGGAATAACTGACGACTTTGGAAGAAAATTTATTTCGACTTTAATTAGTCAAAACTACCAGATTTTACCAATCCGTTTGAGGTAAATGGATAAAATAGACAAATTTGACAATGGCTGTGGTAATTTTGATTTTTCAGTTAAATAAAATAGGCGTAACTCAAATGGTTTGTTTCCTTGTCGTTTTTGTCGCCCACTTATAGTAAGTAAATGGAGAAGGGCTTGAGCTCCATGACCCAAATGGTAACTAAGGCAATGCCCTCTGGATTGTTTATTGTTCCTCACTTTGAACTTTATAGTGTAATTATAGCTACCTCACCCCGACGTTAACGAAAGGTTCTTGTTTTTGCATCTAGATTAGCTGCTGAATATGTTCTGGCTTTTCTTCCTGGACTTTACGTATGTTTTGTCCCTTTTTCGATTTCATGTGTTTGTGTTAGTTTCTTGTGCACACACCAGCACCACTGTCCGGATAAACTCACATTGAGTTCAAGATTACAAAGTACTTGCCTCCCCGTTAAATCAATTGGCGACTGAAAACGCCCCGCGAAAACTCGGTGCTGTCTCAGTCGTCTAGTAACGCGTCCGTGTCCACCCACTTATACTTGCCTTGGCTGACACTCGAGATAAGCGGCACGCTTGAAAAGGGATGAGCCAGTAGGGAGGTCGATGTGAATTTGGAAAAAATGGTATAGGTGAAGGGAAAAGTATAAATTTGTCCATACTGCAAAAATCACAGTCTTAGAAGAAGCCATTTGGCCAATATAACATAAGCACAAATTTTCTCCCAAACGTGTGGCTGTGTCAATTTTCTTAAAATCAAGCTTGTCAGATAAATTTTCTAAGTTTCACATAATTCCACGGCAGGTCTTGGTGTTTTTATGGCTTTTTCTAATATACCAAACGGATAAATGTAGAACGTCACTAGTAAAGCAACCTGGCGTACGTCACTTGTTGTCCTAAAATTGTTTATACTCTAATCACTTTCGATGTGTAATATTTTCCCCAATTCAAACATTGTAATTCATCAAAAATGCCCATTTGAATAAAAATAATTTGTGACGACCTGGGTCAAATGAAAAAATCTGATAATGCTACAGTATGGCATTTGGTCGTATCAACATCCAAGGCCACCACCAAGCCTGACCTTGCTTAATTTAGTAATGTTTGAAACTGTTATTGTAGTTAAAAGATATCTTAGTGATGCCGCTTCTGTGATAATAGCATGGAACGCTCTTGTTAGCTTGCCAAGGTCGATGTTTAGTTAAAATGAGTCTTGGATATTATTCTTAAAGCTTACCGGTCAAAACTTTGTTGGTCGAAATTTACAGACTATCCGAGGTGGCCTTTAACATTTGTCGGTGCATTTCTCTTCTGCGTGTTCCTGATGAAGCGCATGTACACTTATCGTTGCTAATAAATAAAATGATATGCTTTTTGATATTGGCTGGATAATTTTCATTTTCATTTTAGTGTGACTACCTTTTCATGACACTGTCTCGCTACTTGACGAGTCAAAATCGTGTCCAGCCCATGGTAATAGCTGCCTGTTCAGGGACCATCTTCACTCTTTTGTCTCAATCTCTTGTCTTCAAACTGGACCTTGGACTCAGGTAGCCTCACTTGCACTTCGTTAAGTTCACTAATTAAGCCATGAACAAAGCCGAAGGCATGAAGTTTTCTTTGTCGTTAAGCGTGCACCAGCAGCCTCGCACTCTCCTACCTAAAGCTTCGCCCTTATGTCTAGTTTTCACCTTTAAATCTTCCTAGCGAGCCAAGGCTTAGCTGTACTTTGTTTTACTTATTTTGTAAGAGGTCAGCATGGTGACTGGATTACTTTAACATCCAATATTCCTGTTGTAGTTTGCAGTTTTCACGCATCGTTGTGTTGCTCATTTGACATCCGTGCGCCTGTGTTAGTCTAGTATTTGATTTTAAATGCCCATCAGCTCCTCATAGTGTAATTCAGAATTGCTTTTTTTTCAAATCGTGGTGTTGCTTTTTTTCTACTGAACCTTGTAAAGTACAGTGAAATTCGAATTAGCGACTTCGTTTCATTCGACGGCAAGCTGATTATTCGAATCACCCAGTTTACATCGTTTCAAGATCAATCCAAGTTCAAAAAAGGCTTTTGTTGGACTTTGTAAAAGCCGATTCCCTGGTGATGAGTTAAAATCACTCTTGTTTTTTTTTCGCACAGCCCTAAATCTCTAAATTAGTAGGAAATTTCTAAGGTATTGGGCCTGGTGATCTCGTGCAACCAATATTTTAACATTCAACTTAGTCTTTTACATTTGACTGAGGTCATGTTCGAGTTAAAATGGTGACATCATTTTGCGTGTGCTGAGCGGTAAGTGGTTATTTTCACACACGGAGGCGTAGCACATCATTAAATTTGTCAAATATGCCTTGGCATTTGCTCGTTATCGCTTGGTCATTTGGTTTTATCGCCTAAAAGTCGCTATTAAAGCTCTGTGTGGGATAAATTAGCGTTCCACTTTTATGCTCCACCCTGCTACATTCCCTAATCTCACACAGCAATCGATTTTATTTGCCTCTGAAATTGGTGCTGATTAAAGTACCTTCATTTTGCAAAGTTAGGCGTTAGGTGATGCGATTATCGATATTTTACTAGCAAAATATCATTTAATTATCAATCTTACAAGCGGTTTTTATCTAATTTTAGGGCTTCTGCAAGCTTCCTCTCGATGTCGTTTGCAGTAATGCTTCTATGTGAAGTTTTATACATCTTCATCTATCGCATATATGCTGAAACCTGGGATGGTAAGTTCTACATGAAAAGAAGGAATGTAGTTGTGTCAATTTTCCGTAAATTTCTGAGTGACGCCTCAATCCCACACAAACTAAACTTTAGGCGGACACGCAATTGGAGTGTTTGGTTTTTATAAAAAAAATGTCTATAAGCGTTTTTACCGGATGGTCGTTAAGTGACATTTCATGTATATTATGGCTTCCAGTTTGATTAGGAACTTCGGAAGGATGGCCATGAAGACATCCTCAGACATTAGTGTATTCAGAGGGCTCTCCTTTGTGAGCTTTTGTTGTCGAGGCCTGTGGAGTAGTTATGAATGCGCAATCTTTGTCGCTGTATATATGGTGTACATTTATTTTAGGTCAATGGTTACTTTTATGGTCTCGGGTTTAATTTTCTACCTTTTAACTCCGGTGTGTCCGTTTCTTTCTGTCATTTTAGGCTGGGATTTCGTGGGTGCACTATCCGAATGGGGGATATTTTTTAGGCTCGGAATTCCAGGGATTTTAATGATCGCATTTGAAGAATGGTGTCTTGAATTGAGCACCTTTATAGCAGGTAGGCTTTTCAGTGATCAGTCTCGCTCTACGGCTTCTAGCACTTTCATTAACGCTAAAATTTGTCCGTTCTCTGCCACTACGGCGATGAGTCCAAACCTTAAGCACGCCTTGATATTTCAGAACTTGACGCTAAACACTACTTCCTACTTTCTAAAAAGGACTTGAATAGTTGCGACTACCAATTGTGTGTGCGCACATATTCCAGTTAGACAGTCCTTGCTAATCTAAGTTCCTCACTGGCGAATTCAAGCTCCCAGTAGAACCGAATAATACTCGAAAGTAGGGACGGGATTTTTTCCCATATCCTGACATTAAGGCGGGTAGATATTTATACTAAGGAGTATCTTCGTTAATAGGCTTACGAAAATGAGCAGTGATCAAATGAAAAAGATAATCTTCAATGATACTAAATGATTGAACTGAATCAGTCCAGCGTAATCGAAGTTACTTTTCCAACGTTTGGCCGTATTTGTGAAGGCAGCAAATGCGGTGAGGCGTTTGTCATCACTAAGCACGTACGAAATATCGAATTGTGGGGGACAGACTTTGGTTGTTGTTTATGCTTTTAGACTGGCAACCTACATGTCATGAATCTAGAACGAAAACGAGGCGGTTGTAGTAGTCGTGCCGAAGACTCGTGCGTTTTTGTTTAATCGTCGCCGCTTCATGTTGGGATTTTTATTTGTTTTCTTGAGGTCAGGTTGGCCTAACGTTCGGTGATGTCACCTGTCTCTTGGTATGACCATAGTGAATATGATTTTTTAGGCACAATGAGCGACGCAATTTTAGGCGCACAGACAATTGTTTTCCAAATTCAGTCGATTATTTACATGGTGAGTTAATGTGTGTATTTGTTGGTATCTGTTTTGCACTAGAAATAACGCTGACAATGTCAGACAAGTAAGCGTCCTTAGTCCTTTTTTGAGAAGATGTCAGTTCCATCGGCCTGTATATTTAAAGTAGCTATTGACTGAATCAAATTTTTTAGCAAGGTGGCTTCATGTGTAGCCCGAAAATTTTGACGTCATCGTCATTAAACGTATCGTAGTTCCAATTTATTGTTTTCTAAACTGTTTGCGGACAAGGTCATTTCACATGCGTCACTTGAAGAGAGGGTCGGCCCACAAGATGTTGATCTAAGCGAACACTCTCGATTTACCAGTAACCCAAACACGCCAGGTGAAACAATATTCAGCTTCCTTGTCCAGCCCAAGTCCCACGCGTTCCCAGTCTCAGACAAAGAGCAGGACCTTGTGCAGGGAGTTTTTACTGTCAGCTCAAGGCCTAGTGGTACGTCCACTCATGCTATGGGGGACTTTGGTCTTATGGAATAGGGTGAATTGACGCCGATGAAAGCTGTAGCAACTGTAGAACTAAAGCAATAATGTGACCATTAAAGTGTTGTCTTTGGGGCAATCGTGTGAAACAAGAAGAGGTGTAAATAGAAAGTTTCGAATCTCGGTTTTGCGACGAAAACTGCCCCGAGGAATACTAACTTCCCCAACCTGATCGAACGTCCCTACGGTGGAAACATCTTTCCATTGCAGCATTTCCAGACAGGGACGTAGAACGATGCTCCATGAAGACTTCTTTTTCGTCACCACTTCCAGTACATTATTATCATGTACTTAAATTTAAAATTAGTGCCAGTAAGGTACCAACGATTTTGAAAATATGCTTTTATTAACTTTTTAGTGATAGTCTAACCGGTTTACTTTAATTGATATAATAACAATAAAATAAAGCTGGATACAATGACGTCGTACAAGTGCACATCCCGAGTGTGGTGTTTCTGTCGTTCTAGGTCGTTCTAGGTGTGTTTTAATCATTCACGAAACCTCCGTGATGTTTTAGTGCCCGTTTTTTTATTTATACTTGAGCATGGCATTGTATATTTCAAGTAGGTCTTGTTCAAATTTAGGTTAAAAGTCACTCATTCATTACAGTGCTTTTGTTTTGAGAAAAGGTAAAAGGGTTGTCTTAAAAATAGCACTCAAATTGTTTTTACCACTGAACCGTTTCAGTAAACATTTTGCGCAAGCGTCTGTTAACAAAGTTGTCATGCATTTAAGCGTGCCCAAATATTAAAGAAAGTGGCTCTTCAAATAAGTGAATCAACTCATCCTCATCGGTATCCTCAACACGTCTAGTTAGCAGCGGATTAAATCCGTTAATTCAAGACGTGTTATGGGCACTTAGCCCAGCTGTCTACGTTTCACCATGCCTATATAATATAAGCATTGGTGTAGCGTAATGATGTTTATGGGTTTCGTTAGTCTTCTTTAATGCCGATGGTGCCTCACAGCCATGCAAATATTGGATCTGTTTAAGAGTCCATTTCTGCTCAAACTATTTATTCTACTATGATGTAGTTACGTCAATCTAGTGGAGGCGTAGGTCATTCCATAAACTCATTTCATCTTACATCAAGCCTCTTTCACGTGCTGACGGTCAACTAATCGACCCCTCGCCAAGTCCGAAATGTGCGCTAACTGAGATGGCAATGCTTTCTTCATTCTCGTCGACGACAGTTATCTGCCACACCAGCAACTCATTTTTTCGACTGTTTTAGGACCTTCTTATTAGGGTTAGTAGTAATGAAATGCCTAAATTTGCACACATTTGCGTGGATCAAAATATGTATGTAGCAAATCACAATGTATTCTTAAACGTAATATCGATTCAAATTTCTCCTCAGTTTTAAATTAGTGACACTGCTATTAATGATCTGTTCGCATGTTGTATCATGTTTACATCATGAATTCCTCAAAAGAACTCATTTTTAGGTCCCACTGGGCATTTGTACCGCCGTGAATGTAAGAGTTGGTCAGGGCTTGGGTGCTTTTGATCCACGGAAAGCCAAACACACGTACAGGACAGCTCTCCTCTCAATCTGTGAGTACTCGTATTTTTTCGTATTGGAATCCAACGTAGTGGGTTTGGTTTTGACTCTTGCTCAGACTTGCTTTCAAGGATGTGTGCTTTTTGAAGAGGGATTTCTTGAATCTGTGGATGGCCTTTGTTCCTTATGTTAATTAAGTCTATAAAGTACTAGCAAAAAGTTATGGACGCGAGTAAAAACCTCCTATACTTTTTCTCTGTATTTTGCTGCCATCGCATTATCCATGTTAAGATATGCTTGAAGTTTAACTGCAGTTGAATTCACCAGCCCACTCTTACTCCGCCTTCTCAATAACTAGTGGCTTATGCATGCCACAAATTGTAGGGCTTCAGGACTCAGATTTGTGGTGTGATGAATACTTAGGTAGGTTATCTATTTGACCATAGGGCTGAATTGTTTGAACGTATATCAGACAACTTTCTGAGTCAAATACGCACATTGAGTCTTAGTGGTAAAAATGTGGGAAAGTTGAACAATTGTTTGGGTAATTAGTAGCAACAGAAGGGCTTCACAAGTAACAATTCAACGGGGTCCATATTAAATCTAAAACGACATTGGGTTATTTCCTAACACTGTTGAGACACAAATTCCTCACATATTTTTAAATAAATGCTCCATAAAGAGCTGCACGGCCTTCATTGTCTGTGAAAATGTGCATTATGTACCAGCCTGGTACTTCTTAAATGAAATTCGTCTACCTTTAACCAGGCTTATGGAGACGCATATCTAATGACTGCGTTTTACGTCTCAAGAGGCACTTTTTGTAAAACCACTCCTATATGTGTTCTTGATCGATTTACAAGCACGTTCTTCGCATGATGTGTGCATATTACGTTTTTTACTTCTGATAGACCTGTGGTGGACAGACAACCACCTAGCGTGAGTGACGCGTGTATGATGGCCGTAGTACAAAAGTGACTCACCCCATTTTGTTATTGGCTTCTGTTAGCGTTCGCCTGTCTCTCGCGCGTGCTCATACGCACACAAGGCCACTTGGCTGGTGTGACACTAATAAGCGGCGTGGTCCCTGCCGCCTTTGTTTCCCCCTTCTCGGGTTGCAACGGGATGCTGCTACCTAGAGGGTTGTAGGGTAGTGCTCAAGTTACGCCACTGGAGACCTGCAAAATCCACTCACCCATCTCCTACCTGTCACTTATCGGTACAAATATCTTGTGCGTAATGATTGTCACAAATTTTATGCTCGTGCGCTACAAAAAGCGGGTGGACTTAGCTGCAGTAATTAGCACAATGGAGAATTAGCTTAGTTCTGAATCTCACACGAGTACCTGACTCGGAGTGTGACTAAATATTCTTCTTCTTTTTTATATTGAGAGCACTGCGTCAATGGAGCCCTAACTATTCATCCATCCACAAGATTAAGGTCAAGGTGTGCATTGTGGTAGACCTTGCGTGTTTCTAAAGAAAGCATAGATGCCTTAATTGTTGCCGTGAAATCGTCAAAACATCCGAGTTCCTTGTTTCAAACAAGACCTTGAAGTCACTCTCGGTATTCAATTATTTCGCACTAGGGAGCGAGTTATAAAGTACTCGTAGCAGCATCAGAAAACTCGCATAAGTTGTAGGCAACTGTGTCGGGCATCGAAGAAGTGTTAGTAGTCGTGAGACGTCATGTCGTCTCCCTTCTTTTTGAAGATCCATAAGGTTAGCTCAGCTGATTACCCTAAGACTCAAAGAACGATGGTAAAGTCCTAGGTTCCTGCCACTGGAGAGTGACGACGTTTGGCTAAGAACGAGACCAGCTCTAACCAGTTCGGTTCAAGTGACTGCTGGCAATTTGGCCGCCTCAGTTCCAACCTCTGTTTTTCTGATTATTACTTTTTGAGTTACCAAGTTTTGTGGCATTGAGTGACAGTGTTGAGGGCTCTCAGCTCGATCATCCGTATTCGACAGTCAATTTTGGCGCACTGACCCACGTCCGTTGCTAGTAGCTTACCAGGGTTATTTCCTTATTTCGTTTGAAGTGATAGGAAGCCGTTGCATGAGACTTTCTAGTTTGATCGCATTGTATTCAAAACCTCCTAGTAAATCCGTGCTTGTCATTTTAACCTGAATATCCCTTCCTCAATAAGTCCTTAAATTAAATTCTTAGCCACTCAGCATTGCATTATTTGCGGATGTCGTTTTCGAGCTAAGCTTCGCTTATTTGCGCAACTAATGTTTCATAGTCATTTTTGCGCTGCTGATGCTGTTGACTTAGCTGAGGTCTCGTTGGTTCCAGTTACCGTTAACCCTAATATACAATTTTTTATTCCAAAAAAAAACATTTAGAGCGATTTCCTTATCGGATTCCTTTTTTCTTAGTTGGATTCGTCTTCTTAACCGCGGCGCCTGTTGTTCTTTTGCGTCACAAAATCCCGTACCTCTTTACAACAGATAAGTGAGTCAATTTTTTAAAATAAACACGGTATTTCGCAAAAATTGTCTTCTGTAGTTATTTTTAATAATGACTTTCCTGTTTACATCACAGAATTCGCACTCGTTTCTTGCCTCTCCAATGATTTTTTTAGGTTATTTCATAGCCCGATTTTATAAATATACCAATCGGGTGTGTTCCCAATTCAACGCAGCCTTCGTCAAGCATACGTCCCTTCAGGTCGGGATTTTTGTAACCGGTTCAGTCTTGGCGCATAACCTTTTATGGAGGCATTAGTTCCCCTCAGAATGACGTGAAACGTTTCACTTGGGAGTGAACCCTGATCCAAACACTGTTTTGACGCGAGTATTCTTTTCGTAGGCGCTCTAGGGAACTCTAAGTCACATCGATATGCTTCGTTCTTTTATCAATCCAATATTCCTCGTGGTTTGCTCATTTAGAGAAGTTATCGACGAGGCCGTCAAGCTGTTTCCAGTGCTTCTCATCTTCCAGTTCTGCGAGGGTTTAGGTGTAAGTCACATTGCGTTAAGCCAATAGCTTGCACAGTTAACAGTCTAGGCTTTTTAGTGCAGGTAATTCAAGAACACGCGTGCTATTCTAATTTTCTTCTATTTAGTTGTTAAATTTGTTCTTCCCGAAAGCTTCACACTGCTGGCCAAAATGCTGTACAATTTACAAGTTAATTGTCCCCAAAATTGGTTTGTCTTTTACTTTATCCGGAACATAGGCCTAGGTGTCTTCAAGAATGCCAATTTCCCCTGTTTTGAGCCGATAAACGCGCGAGTTGCTTCCAGGAGTATTCGCTCAGAGGTAGATTTACTACTTACCTCCATGCCCTGGGTGCGGCTTTCGGTAGTTCTACTTACCCCTGGCGACAAGTTTAAATGTTTTGGTTGTTCAAACACGAAGTCTCTTGTAAAAGATTGCCTTTAATCCAGTGTTCGTTAGTTTTAATGACAATTTTAACGTTTCAGGGCGTTTCTGAGGCTGTTTTGTTGGCATGTGGACGACAGGTTTTGGGCGCAATTACTATATTCGTCGGCTACTACCTAATCGGTCTTCCTTTGGGCCTCCTTCTTACCTACAAGTTCCAGTTTGGCATCATTGGTGAGTCGATCCAAAGCCATTTCTAAGTATAAAACGACTGAATTTCAAGCAGCCTAGTTGATTACCTGTTACTGAGACTCAGGTGGTGGAACCACCTGTCTAATCGTTAAACTTCGTTCGATGTGGTATTTATGCTTTCCCTTCCTCGTTTGTGTGCTCTGTCAACGATCACGGAAGGACAATGAAAGGGTGGTGTAAGGTAAAATGCTGCTCACTGAGGCTACCTCCTGGGCCAGAGTCAAGGCTGCTCAAATCCAATTTGACCCTCTCGTGGCATTACCACTGCGTGGCGCCACTTTAGAGGCTAATTGACTTTGTTGTTTTGTAAACTGTTTGCGGAACTGCAAGTCAGTCCTGTTGCTCTTAAACCCTTTAGGCATGTGGATTGGTTTGGCTACTGGTTTTTTCTTGACGGACTGCATCTACACCTTCGTTGCCATTAGAACCGACTGGATGGAAGAATCTAGAAGGGTATATTCGCGTGCTCTTTAATTTATTCCTATCGTCAACTCCGTATTTAATCAATCTGCGGTCTCGATAACCAATGTAGCTTACGCACCAGCTTTGCTAAGCTTTAGCATTTGTGCCACTAACCGGTCCGAGTCTAGTATAATTTTTGTAATATTGTGAATTTTGTTAATTTGGGCTGATCAGTCAGTGTTTTTTTCTTAAGTAAATTTGCTGGCCAGTAATGTATAAAACAAAGGCCTCATGAATCTCAAAATCGCAATCTAAATTGCAAAAAATCGTTTTAAATGCGCATTTCTCTGATCAATTTGCCGGTGATTTCCATTCAAACAGCGGAAAAAGCAAGCTTTTTAAAAATTAGCTCAATTCTAACTCAGTGTTTGAAACCGCCTTTGGTGTAGGTAGCACCGATATTTCTCTTCCGGTGAACCGGATTTCTGCCCCTAGTTTGACCACCGATTTTCCTCCACTCATTAACTTTGGAGAACGATCATTCCATTCCTATTCTATCGTTGATTCTGCTCGGCGGTGTTTTGAGAAATTCATTTTTAGTCTGCTTACAGTACTTTTTTTGGTGCGTTTATCTATGGTTGATATTTAGTTTAGCCTTGTTTATGATATTTGTTTCCCTTTAAGACGTCCTCTGTATGCTCTCATTTACATTTTAAAGGCACTTTATACCGCAATATTGCATCTTTATGATAACTTTTGGTGCCAATTAATTGTCACATATGTTAACATCGTAGTCCACGTACTCCACAGTCTGTCACTATATCAGATTCCTCCATGTCACGGTTATGAATTTTTTGCTCAATGTGCCATTCCTTTACCAGCCCCTCGATGACAACCGGTCATTTGCCATGCTTTCTTAATGGTTAACAGGCATTTAGCGTTCCATAAATTTGCGTGGAAAAGTTATCCTGGAAAACTCGGTTTGGTTGTACATAAACACCAAAATATGTCCTGTTTTGTGTATTATGCTGTCGCGTGCCAACGGTAATCAACTTTTTTATTTTTAAAGACTTTTGGATTACAATAAAAAACGAATTTTGCGTTTTAGTTTTTGTTGGTCATAGTTTAGGGCCAATTTTATAGCAGAGTGCTAAGTCCCAACTTACTTTACTTTTTGTTTTCACCAAGGCTGACCTTTTCTGAGGCTCACAAATATGTGAAGCCTCTAGTGTTGATTGCGTAACACAGCCATAGTATTAAAATTGGTAAACGAATTTTCCATTTTGTCTAAAATGCTGCAGTAGTTGATGACAAAGTCAAGGATGCAATTGAAGCGAGTGGTTTTATGCCTCTGTTGCAGAAACTACAGACAGGCTTAATTTATCATCCACTCACACCCTCTCGCCCAACAATTGCACACCGTTTTAAATAGCTTGGACGCGTTTAAGAAACTCGATGTTTGAGTTTTCCATGAATTTAGAGAAATTGGCCAAACACAATCCTTTTGGAGTTGGATTGCCTACAGACGAATAGGTTGAAAGTTATTATGATCCAAGCATGGTGAAATTGCATCGAAAGCTGCATCGAAAGCTGTTGAATTGCATCAACCTTAGTGTGATGGTAATGCTGTTGTGTATTTCGGGCTACTTCGATTGAACTAAATGATTTACTTTCATCGTTGCAAGGAAAAACCAATAAACAGAAGAAAATATAGAAAAAATGCCCGATTTGGCAAATGACAGTGAAATCTCCTATATTATAGTATCTCGAATGGGGTTGTCGGATCTTTGTTGGAAATATGAGATACATTCTTCATTTAGCCCCACATTTCCTAAAATTTCCTCAGTAGCTATTGCTATTGGCTATTCATGTAGTCTTCGTGGTCGACAACTCACAGTTCCCACCATGGTAGTTCTGATGATTAGGATTGGACTTAAGGCGCTCAAATGTGGTCAAATTATTTTAATGTTTTTCAACTTTTGTCAGCGTTTATAACCCTCTATGTTGCAAGAAACAAGGTTATTTAAAAGTGTTAGATGCTACCCTGTGTAAATTATAAAAAAAAATAAGAAAAAGTTCTGTCTTAAATGGTTGCTTTTGTCAATTCAGAGTTTTTCCTAGTGTGTCGTAATTTGTGTGTGGTTTTACTTTGTGTTCCGTTGATATAGTTTTTCTTCAATACTCAGGCACTGCGCAATGTTCGTCAAAACTCCAATAGTATTTCCGTCAGATCTAGAACGCGTAAGTCATTTCGTACATTTAACTTTGGCTGCGATTATCAAATTTTTTTACATAAAATGTAATTAGTTGATATCTGAATAATATTTAATCAAAACCGCTGACTTTGAGACACACGACCTCTGTTCGTATCAATTTGAGTCTTGAAGTTTACCGTGACTTCCAAGAGTTGCTTGCGCATTTTAGACACAGCATTACTTGCAGTTGATGGCAGTCGGAACAGGTATCCAACAATTAAGATGGACACGATGTTGGACGAAAAGCAACCCCAACCGACTGCTATTCGATCAAATTCCAGGCAAATTTTCTTACGCATCACCATTTCCGCGGTAGTTCTCGTCTTCTTTCTTTGCAATCTATGGTACCGTTTGTTTCATACCACACCCTACTGGGTGCGTGTGTGTCGTGACCCGGCAGCTTCGAAACCAAAGGGCAAATTTTGTAACATGCTCTCCCTGCCTTCTCGTTTGCTACAGTAATGCGTTTTGTTTACTATTTCCAAAGTACAGTATTTACACAAATGGTTGTGATTTTTCAAGTACCAATTATAATTACCTCGGCGTGTATGTTTCGTTCTACACGAAATTGCACTTTCTTTTATTTTGTACATGTTTTTGATTTTTATGGCTTTGAATAAGCGCCTTTTTTGAACCTTGACGGTATTTTCACTACGAAGTGTCTAACTCATTTAGAGTCTCATTGTTTCATTTTGTATTTACGTCAAAGAATTCAGGGTCATTACCACCATGGGAGGGTTTCTTGTATCTCTATTGACAACTGGTGATACTAATCTTACCCAACTGACAAAATATATACAACTTGCTGGAAATAAATCTCAATGACTTTTGAAAAGGCTAGATTGCAAAGGTAGGCGTGAACACGTCCCGTTTATTCAACATCCAAGTCGAATAAAGAGAGGAGGGTGGGTCGCGAAATCCGAAGGCAACATGTCCGTCTGGGGCATAGGCTGTGGACGACCGTGTGACCAGGCCACGTGGTTTTCAGCAA